CCCCCCCCCTGGCCAGCTGTTGATCCCGCTTGCCGAGACCCACGGAACCTCGGTGTGCTCTCGTTCGACCTGCTGTCTGCTAGAGGAAATAGCAGTCTCTTGCGCAAGGCATTGGCACGGTCGTGCACGATGTTGAACGGCCGCCCTTGCCCATATTGCGTCCGCGTCTGTAGGGTCGAGTCGTTGGAGACACGCCTAGGCTACTCTATTGGACCCCCTCCCCCCCCCCCCCCCGAACCTTCACGGAGCCTCGTGCGCTCTGTCCTTGTATTTGTAGGGTAGGCCGGCGAGGGTCTATCGTCTTCGGTGCTTGTTTCTGCGCGAGGAAACGGCACCACCCCGCACGTCAACGTCCGAACCGTACGTGATATTTTTCCAAGGTGCTTGCTGCCTGGTTTCGAACGTCTGTGACAGGTGTTGACGATGGATTTCGTGCACGGCCTTAAGATTAGCGACAGGGAGGGGATCGAGCGAAGGGGGATGGACCCCACCGGAGTGGCTCGAACGGTCACGAGAACGTTTGGGGACATGATTTACTGCCATGGGTAAGAACAGGAGAGGTTTTTCCGCATCCAGTCCCTCTTTTTTCGTTTTTGTGTGTGTTGTACAACTTGTCTTGGAGCCACTGCCTCTGCCGTATCTCTTGGTTTCTTACTTTATTTTTTTCCTACCTAGTGTGAGTCATCGGTGCTCCGTGGATCACGCACATGCTCGAGGACCTTGTCCAACTGTTCCTCCGCACTGTTCTGCGGATCATTCCCGGTAAGCACGCATACGTCTGTCATTCCGAGATACGAAGAATGATCCGCAGAACAGTGCGGAGGGACAGTTGGACAAGGTCCTCGAGCATGTACGTGATCTACAGAGCACTGGTGACTCACATCGACAGCTAACCCTTACTAGCGTGAGCGTAAGTCTTTTTCGCCCAAACACTATAATAGGGTACACTTTCAATCGGCCTTCCTTCTCTCTCAAAGTCGCTCTGTCGTTGTCTCTTTTTCGACCAACAAGCTAAATATAACGGTGCACGTGTGTTTTATCAATACACGACGCGTAAATTCACCTCACAACGTTGGCGTGGCAGCCGCGCGAACCACGTAGAAGCATTGTACACAACCCTAACGCCTTCGTGAAAAAAAGTGCTTCCGCTCTTTGCTGTCGCCCAACAGCCGCAGACTTCTTGCTCTGTCTGCACCCACTTAGCCTCGGCACCCACGGACTAGCTGCTGTGTTGATATCACTCTGAGATCGTCGACGTAATGCTTGTACCACCCAACATGCCCCAGGTTTCTGCACTGCGATCCACACCCAGGCAACCTCATGGTGCGGCCCAAGCCTTCATCGAGGAACGCGAAGGTGGCGGCCAGGGGCATCGCAGAATCGGGGGACGCCACAAGATCGGCGGCACCGAAGCGGAACAGCGTCGCGCACCAGGTGACCGCTCCTGATGATGATGATGATGATGTGGTCTCGTCTTGATAGATGCTGATCATTTGGTTTGGCCTTGAGGCCTCTTTTTCTGGGGCAATGTTGGGCTACGGTGTTTGCCGTGGCATTTGCCAGGGATGCCTGGGTGTAGGCAAGACAACACCAGCAGTTGTGCTCGTTGCGTGTGGCGTTGGTCTTGGTAGTCGTGTCTGCGGTTGACCTGTACCCTACGGCAGTCCTGTCAACGCGAACGGGCTGCTGTGTCATGTCTATTGGCGTTACCCCCGACTGTTTTTTTTGTTTTGTCCGAATTTTCCCCCTCTTAACTCTGTGAGGCAGAAGACGCGCGAACCCCCCCCCCCCCCCCCCCCCCCCCCCCCCCCCCCCCCCCCCCCCCCCCCCCCCCC